TAACTGCGCTAGGATCGGGGCAGTCACATTTGTTGTGTTTTTTGTGCCCTATGTAAGATTAAAGTGCTGGTTTCATCTATTTCAGATTTGCTATTTAGATGTTCTTTTATGCGGATGAAAGGTGGTCTACCTGTTTTGAATATATAATCTTCCCCGCATGTCTTACATGCTACCCAGTAAATTGTACCCGATCTCATACAATCCCCCTCATTTCCGTTAGGGCAGATCACACAGTTTTTGGTGTTGCACGAATGGTTGATAGGTGTCCCAAGTCAATGTCCAGTTTTGCTTATCGCCGCGAAATTAGCCTCGCCTTTTATTAGGTGCTCTACTGCGAATTTGCTTTTTACATCTATCAAGGATGTCTTTAGCATTAGGAGCAAAAGTGTTTTCCTTTTATGAGAGATGAATATAGTCGTCTTATTTTCGTCAGCTCCCTTGCAATTCTTGCTTGCAGTGTGTCCAATGTTTTCAAGCAATTTACAAGACTACTTGCCATTAACAATGAAAGCTTCTCTGTCGATTATATCCCTTTATATGGTTCATTGAACAAGACATCTTACAGTTGAACCCCTGAGGACCGACGTGTTTTAGTTAAGGTACATGATTGTTTGACGACCTTCTTCGCTGGGGAAACTCCTCTGTTAGACACTCCCTAATTATACGATAGCTTAAATCTATGCGATATTAGCAATATATTTGATTTTTGAAAAAACCTCCTTATTTCGCTATAGCAATGAAAATAAAATTTGTTTCACGTTCAGTATGCTTTGATAAGGATATAGCATGTTTTGAGCTGTTTAGTCTAGTAGTATACAGGCGCATGTTTCGCCCTATTGGGACTGATCAGTACCACCCTTTCTCGGTTCAGCCGATCCCCTGTTGATAAGCAATCCTCTTCAAAGGAATCGACCCCGAGTATAAAAAACACCCCAAATGACATGGTGTACTTTCCTGACATTGTGGTGACCGGCAGTCGAGCACGTAGCTGTTATAATGAACCATACCTCTTCTATCGACCGCTTTTTCCTATAGACTCAGATTATATCATTTTGAGCGGGTCTATAAAAGAAGCGGCTAGTATGCTTTATTTTCTCGGCTGAGGCTTGTATAAGGCTCTCCGATTAACTCATACTAGTCCTTCGATAGCCCAAATTTCGAGAAATTTTGATTCTGTAATTGGTTTTCTGAAAGGTTATCATAGAACGTTGTAAGGCGGAGAAGAAGACTAAATTCACTCTCAAAGTTTTTAGCGTACAGAAATGCCATATATGCACGAAAACACATGACCATGTAGACAAAATCATGGAATATGAGAGTTACACAAAATTCTAAGGCTTAACTTCCAAAATGGAAAAAAACCCTCGTTGAAGATCGAAAATTGTACGCTTATTGTAAATTGCGCTCTGCGATAGATTAACTGTCGTCTTCAAAAAATCAAAATAATTGAAGTTTTGCACATCACTCTACATCAGTGAGTATACTTGAAAGTTCATTACCACCGTTAGAAGCGATTGAACAAGAAGAATTTCATTTGATCATCAATAACCAGTATCTGTTAGCGTGACTGGGTTCAATGTTGATACCAATTAACCGGGTCAGGCCGTTGACGGCTGGCGACTGGCAGGTAAACGCGTTGTAGGGTAGAAAGCGTGGTGCGAAAATTGGGCGTCAGTAGTCCAACGGGTTAGAGCACAAGCTCCCGGGTAGAGTGAAATGTGGGTTCAGAGCCCCGCATGAAGCGAAGGTTTTGCACATCAATGGTATATTTGAAAGTTCATTACCACCGCTAGAAGCGAGTTACAAAAAGAATTTCGCTTGGTAAAACGATTGTTTTCTGATGAGCCCCTCTACAAGCTGGTCCAATACCACGTTTCGTGCCTGCTAAAACTTCTCTCCCTTCGGGTGCGGTATGACCCTGGGCATGTCTAGAGACATATTGAATTCTTACACCTCAAACCTTTACACCTTGAACCTTAATAGTCGCTCGAATCACTCAGCGTTAAACTAGACTTCATGTTATACAGTAACACCAAAGAAATAATGTTCCGTAGCAAGATGCAATTCCTTTCATGCAGAACTCATTTCTCATACATGTCAAAGATCGGAAATCGTATCAAGAGCAGTTCTTTAGATTGGAACCGGTATAACTCTGAAGGAAGCGTGAACTGACACGTATTTGACATGGGTATGAATAATCAATACCCTTCTCTATTGATAAGGTACCCCTATATTTTGAGGAGACATACTCGGCTTCAGCTCTAGCGCCTTTGAAGGCAAACGAAATTGGTGGTCGAAAATGAAAAGTCAAATGAACGGTTAGGTACAGTCGACTTGTATCAGTAAGTCTCTAAAGATGGCAAAGACGCTTAAGTCGTGTTCTCCTATCATCAAGAAACATTTTCAGATAAAACTTCAATCTCAGGCCAAACATAGCCCGAGAAGATTCCTATAGTGAAACGTTGCCGCTCCTTATTGTATTATCGCACATTGGTGGATTTCGAACAGAAAGACAGACAGACAAGATCCATTATTACTAACATCTTCATTATGACTGCCAACATGCGACAAATCTGATTAATTAATGAAGATGCAGCTACGTGTTAATATAAGATTGATCTGATGACTGGTCTTCTGTGTCGCATGGCTAGGTATTTCATTGACCCTTGATCTGAAAAGAAAGGCACATGAAAGTATGAACACGACTACGAAATCTGTAATCAGAAAAACGCTACGGCTCCAACATACACAAATCATACACGTATATGAGTCACATTTATGAAATTCAAAAAAAAATTTTCTTCAGGACCACCTTTCACTCAGATGGTAATTTTTTACTGAGATAAAATTTCTTTTCTAGGAGTTTCAGAGCCGGATTGGTGTTTTTTGAGTCGTTACCAGGACAGAGATGGGTCCTACTACTGAATTCATAAAAAAATCTGGAAATTTCTGCAAGAATTCAAAGCTTTTTATGTTGGCTTGGATATAATTAACACTTCGCAAATGGACAGAAAGACTCGTTCGTGAGAATATCTGCATAAATGCAAAAGGCACATTCATGATTTAACTGATAAATGTCGCGCTTTTCACTGAATTGAATCAGCCGTTGGTACTGCATCATTGCTAGTGTACCAGTAATTCTCATTCTTTCTTTTTGACTGTGGTAAAAGTTTGCTTATTTGCGACTAATGAGAAAGTCTGTGCACTTCTCTAGCATACTTGCTTGAGTTGTTCGTCTTACCTGAGTTAAGCGTCTGTTCTCTCGCTGTGTAAGGAGCGGATCGCTTTCCAAATCGCATTCCTATAAAATCAACTATAATAGCAATACTTATTCCACTTAACGAGCGCGATTAGTGAATTTGTTTTGGGTTTCATAGCCTAGAAATGGCTGGCTTACACTAGCACTTCTAAGTAGCGCATTTCAAAAATCAACTCTTTCGGATACCGAAATCCAGAATGCCAAATGTTCACAATTTTTTGACTTCATCGTAAACTTTTTACGTGAAGCATTTATTGCTGCACTTCTCATTCAATAAATATTATCATCATAGTTAACAACTATTAATTAAAGAAGTTAATTGGAGCGGCATATTCAATATAGTTGCTCGTACTATGAGCTACCGACATTCGATGAAAATCGTTAGCTGGATGTAATAGGTTGTAAAACCAGTTCCGTCGTACTTACAAAATGCATGGAAAAATTCACTTGTACACAAATTTAATTCATACAAAGGACAGATTTTCATTCGAAGTAGTGTCTTCCTACATCAAGACAATTCAGCCACACATTTGACAGAGTAAAGCTGTCTTGAACGAGGTGTACGAATATCGCAAACTTTATCACCATAAGCTTTGCAGATTTGTCGATAGGCCTCAGATCTTCCTTGAACAGATCGATTTTGATGGCTGTCTAGGCGAATGATACATCGTTCGATGCGCAAGAAAACAAACTTTCTGATAAGTTAAATTCCGCATAAAATACATGTGTATGAATCAAATTTTTTAAATAAGGCGACAGAACTTTCTATATAATCTATCATGAATGCTATTCTTGATGTCAACATCATTTCGCATACAATACCTTGATGGCATCCGATGCACTGACAGCACTCATAAACTAATCCTGGTATTCGGCAAATTTCAGAGCATTGAGCATTGTAGGCTTCAGACGACCATAGGGAGACCACAAATGATATTATCAGTACACTCACACTCCCCATATTGTCTACCTTAAGAATGAAAGACATTAGCGGCAGTAATGAGCGCTTAATTTGACAAATCACATTTTCTTTGGATAATTTACAATTATGTTTTCGATACAAAGGAAGAAATTGCAAACATAGAATTGCGGAAGAAGGATGAGAAAGTTGAAGTTGTTACATAATTGATCTCTCATTAGGGACTCGAACTTCAAACACAGCGTTAATGCCGGTACGAAATGATTGAACAGCAGACAGTAGTAGTGTTTATATATTAAGGGCAGAAAAAAATATTTACAGAGACGATTTCAGAAGAAAGAGCAATCACGTACCAAAAATTTCCCCATGTCCATAAGAAAAACACGTTCTTGCAAAAGGTAACTCATCTCCAACTGTTACTGACTGTTTTCTCTTTTTTTCGTCTAAGTTTTTGTTGTTACTCGATAGCTTAAAAAAATTTGATTTCAGTATTGAACTTTTTTTAGAAAAAATCTAACATAGCATGATTCACTGAGGAAAAAAAGGTAAAGTTTTGCTTTCGGTGTAATTAGCTCGTTTTTTTGAACTTTTGGGCGTGTTTGTTGGCGTATAGTAAAACTTTGTTTTTGAGGATGCTTCATAGTCATGAAAACATATATTTTTATCGAAGGAAATTCTATAAGGGTAATTCTAGTAGAAAGAGCGCCCAATTATCCAAAGGATCTTCATTATTCAACGCTAAAGCTATCTCCTTGGGATAACATGCATTTCCAACTCCTTTTTACGTGCACCTAAGAGAATTGGGGTGGTGAGCAAAAACTCGACCTTAGACGGGGGTTGAACCCTCGTTTCACCCTTTCTTGTGGTGCGTGATACCACTACACCACTAGGGCCACTGTTCATCCACCACTCATTCTTCAGTATCTTTCTGTCATAGCTATCAGCCATCATCCTTTAGCAGGTCTGGAGGGTAAGCAATATCGCTCGCTAAACCCAGTTAGGCTGGCAACCAATGTACTTGTAAATCAAGTTTTTTAATATTTTGAATGCTTATCTTTATTCACATTTGTTTCAACGATATTGTAAACCTTCAACTTGGAAGTACAGTTTCTACAATGTATGATTTCTAGAAAAAGTCTTATGCAGAGGACTTCTAAGTGCACAGCCGAAGCAAGCACTAATAGAAATTCATTCTATTATTTTTTGGAGTAATTTGCCAAGAGTGCGTTTTTTCACCCAAATTTTATTCAAATTTCACTTCACTCAAATTTTAAAAAATTTCACTGCTGTTGCAAATTTTCCGCACAAGATATTCAATAGTCAACAGATTACACAATCAGTATCAGTCAATAACAAATCACTTCTGCTCAAAAATTAGCACCGGTCTATAATTTACCCATGCTGCGTTGAATTTGTGCTTTATACAATCGCAAAGTAGTACTTGTTGCTCTTTTATTAGACAGTCAATAGCCACTCTATAGCTTGAGAGATGAAGATTTTAGCAAGGAGTCTGATCATTTAGAAGGCCTTCTTAGTGGGCAGCACCAAAGAAGAAAATGCACGCTCACCTTCAAGGTAGCAAGCTCTTCACTTGAACGGATTTCGTTGGAAGTTATATAGCGATGTTTGAATGTTAGAGGTACTTTAGCGCCGCAAAAAAATGGATTATCTCCGAAAGGACTCCCCTACAGGCATTTTCAGTAAAAGCTGTCGTGCATCCTAACAGTCTGCATTTTCCACTAGAAAAACATCTTCTTGGGAAATAAACATGTGCCCTAGTGTTACTGCGTATTATTGTCGCTTATTTTGTGAGAATGAGAACTTCTTCTCCACCCATCACTCCTCTAATCGCCACAGATATTCTGTTATAAAATAAACTTACAAATATCGGGTATGTGCAGTACGCAGGATCGATAAATTCATTGTACCTATTCCTTACGTTTCCTTGAACACGTGTGATTGTCACCAAAGAGTAGGGCAGGGTTCTGGACGACAAAGCCTTCTTTGAATACTCACTCAATTATCTGCTCATCACTCAATTATCTGCCCATATCCCCTCTTGATATGATCGAGCTCAATGCAATACAATATTGATTGGACTTCGGCATGTTTCATTAAGCTTAGGAAGGTCAAATTGGCCCGCACTTTCCTCAGTCAATCACTTCCGAAGGCGCACCTTCAAAGAGAATGAATGTGGACTGGCAACAACGATTTAACGAGGAATATGCAGTACATACTGATTCTCCTAATACTCCTGTAACTTCTCGCACAGTTGCTTCCGCAAAGTAAAAGTATTCGAATCCTTTATATGAAATGTAGAATTCAGCAACGTTTATGTATCCAAGCGGTGGAAGTGGAGGAGGATACCCATAGGTAAGACACGGCCTATCACGATTTGGTAAAGTGGTAAACGGCTACAACCACCAACACTTAGTCAAATTTAAGTTATTTTGAGTTACTTGAACATAAGAGAGGCACATGGAATCACCTTGAGGGTAACCATCCAAAAAAATCTTGAAGCGCGAAAAATAAGCAGCATGTTCAGTGATAAAGGTTGCGACAACGAAGAGTGCTAATAAAAAAGTAAAAATGAACATATAAAACGCAAGTATCCATAGAACGTTAGAGTGAAGGCTGCTCTGTAATTCCGCATAGGTTATAACTTCTGAAATACACACAAATTAAAACTAAGAAAGCTATCGATGAGCAGATATCTCATTCATTATGCATCATCATTTATAACTATTCATTGCTTTTTGAGTGTCAGTTGCTTTGATGAATTTTGCTTATATCATGTAGTGAAAAATATCAAAAGTTAAAGATTTATGTTGCGTTATCCTTTGTATAAGTTGCCACAATTGACTGAATGACAAAACAATATGATTGTGCAGTAAACTAGCGCATACATGAGCCAAAAGTATAAGGGTGTGTAGAGTAAATCATAATGTGCCAAAGTAGAAATGAAACGCAAAAACTTTCTGGGGGCGGAGAAAGTTGAATGACGAAAATCACGCGCCAAATTGCGATTCGCTGCGCACTCGGCAATCGCTATCGCCGTCCCGAACGGGCTAAAGACAGATAATGCAGAAATGAGAAACTCACTACTTCTATAAATAGCATTACAAAAGCCATCTTACATTTTGAGGCTTGATATTTTCTAAAAATAATATTTCAACCACAAATAATCATGATTAGCTTTTCTTAAATTTCACTATATAGTAGCCGCTTATTCCTTTCACGGCCCATAAGTTTTTATCCCTTTCGGGACCAAGTGTACAAAGGATGATGCACTGGTCTTTTTTGTGGTCTTGGTCAGACACAGATCTTTGTTTGAATTTCATTAGCCATTCAACTGCTGAAAAAATAGAGATTTGATTGCTGGGCTTGGTTTTCAAAAAGGCCTCCTTGATGAACTATAGCAATGGCGAGAACATTGAATTTGCCTCTGCTGTCTATAGCCTATTTTGCATTCCTGTTTGCGTAAATTTTTCGCTGCACAAAATTCTTCACCAGAGTTCTAGCACTCAATCATTAACTTGAATACGGTAACTTCAGGGTTTTGCTGAACTTTCTAAAAAGCCTTTTTAGTACACTGTAGCATCTGGGAGAATATTACTTTCACCTCTAGCGCGCATTACTTGCACGGCTGGGGTCTTCGCTTGGCTTTTCGCCAGATTTTTAGTAATCATTTGATAGCTTGACTCTTGATATTTTTCAAATCTTTTATAAGATCTTCAAAGAGAGGTGTAGGAACGAAAAGAAGGCCATATTTCGCACTTGGAGTATTCAAACTATTGCTGGAAATTTATAACGGATTTTTCATCAGCATAAAGAAGAATGAAGAGGTGATAGTCATAGAACGTTATAAAAAGGCTCTTCTATAATTTCATAAAGGTATCATCTTTTAAAATATGCCAATTATTCAAAAACTGTTTAGAGTTATCAATTAACTGACATTGCATACGCTGCACAGTAGCATTTCTCACAACTACATTGCATGCGCTGCACATTAGCATTTCTCACATCTTTCATCGTGATTCTAATCTTCATTGTTTTCTTCGCACATAGGTGCTGTATATGCACTAAAGGTATATGGACGTGTGGAAGAAACACTGTGGTATTAATGTATTGCAGAAAGGTAGATAAATCCCAAAATTGAATGACGAAAATCGCGTGGTGCTTGCTGATCTCACAACGTGTGGCGATTTCAAGTGTGGTGTGCCGTAAGTGTTGAATGTAACAAGACTAGGTGCTTGTAATGCAGTGGTAGGAGGTGTCTTACGATGCACACATAAAAGACCATTCAATCTACGTGTAAAAGCTTTTCAACTATACGGATTCTCTTTGTAGGTGCCTTTTTGGAAGGATAGCAGCATTACCTTGATGCATCGATAGGCCACCCAACGTTGTTGCATAGGTTAGATTAGCATTCAATCCTTCTAATCGTATGAATCAAGTCGAATATACAGCGCATAGCTCAGAGACCAATCAGCTCTAGAAGCTTTGTGCTTCTCCCATTTACCACAACTGCTTTCGGTGTGAGATTCCTTGCAAAGGAATCACTAGTATGAATTGTTGCAATATAAGCATATCATGAACGATTTCAAAATACCACAAGAAGTAATTATTACAAGCAGCCTTTTTTGATCAAAACAAAAAGATATTACTTTTTGGATAAGCAAAAATTAAATGTATCGTTGGTAAATGCCCAGCTAATGCTTCAGATGACCTTTGAAGAACTGAAATTGAGGCCGTTTCACATTTTGCTGAAGTACTTTCCACTTTCTGAGTTACTATATGCGGATGTTATTGAGAGGAACGCAACTCGTCCTTTTACAAATTGGTCTTAATCAAAATTACAGTCCTTATGGTCGACGAACAGGGCAAAGAAAAGAGACTTATTCCCGTGCGAAGAGTGGGCAACGAACTCAAATACTAAATAGCGGCAACGACTAATGGAATATAAAAATTCACCTGTCTCTCGCAGTCGTTCTAGTAACGGGAGTAATAACATGAAGTCTTTTTGTTACCACCTGATGTAATATCTTGTGCTCTGCTCTTGAAAGGTAACATCTGAAGCGTTGTAAAATTTTTATTTAAACACACAGATCTTGGAGCGCATCCAAATCAAATCTAACCGCAAAACTTGCTGACTATAGTATTTAAACATAGAGCCGTGGTGTGACCTTTAGAGCCACGAATTTTCGTCATCGAGAAATCCCTGCCCGGTTAGCCGCAAGGGCAAACGACTCGTCTCCAGGTATTGAGTAGAGAATTGAAAGCAGAAGGAGAGCATGCCATCTTGTACTTTCTAGGTGGATTCAGGAGGTGGAATCCCTATTTCTGCAGTGCCAATCTGACATATACTTAACCTCTTGTAAGCTAGCCAAAAGTAGGCAATGAAGTGATTGGGAAACACATGCAAGGCGGTTACTAGTCCCTCCCGATAAACAGGTTTCTCCTTGTTCCTCTTGAAAACGGCGGCAAGCCGCCCGTGAGTGGCCAGTTTCCATGTTCAAAGCTCAGCAAGCTATATGTTGGGCACAAAAAATATAACTCAGAAGAGAAATTTTGGTTGGTTTTATTTCTCTGACCACTAAAGAGCCTTTAATAGGCCTGCATTGAGAAGGATGAGGACAGAAATGCCGATAAAATATCCGCATAACTTTATGCTGCCAAAATCGCAACGGGTTTAGATGATAATCTATACCTAAAGTGCACATACTTTTGCAAGCGAAATCTCTACAGATGAACTTGATGATAGACCCAGGAAGTCTCTGAGGTGTGACATCATTAGCCTGGCTACGACGAATAGAATTCACTCATTTCAAGCTGTCTATGACACCAAAGTAGAAGTAGCTCTAGGAACATCAAAGAGGTGTCAGCGGCGATG